TTACGCGTAGAATGCGACCTGATTTTTCTAGCTCTTTGGTTCTGGCCCCGCTGAGAGCGATTTTTCTTCCTGAATTCAGCCCAGGTAGGGAGTAAGCCATACAAATGCATATGTAAAAGCTGAACTGAATTCTTATTTGGAGAGCAAGGAATTAACAGGGCTCAAGCAGTGGCGATGGCTTGCCTGCTGGACCGGTCTTCTAAGACAAAGCATCTTGGTAAAATAGCAATGATATTAACAAAAGCCCCTTTTGGGGGCTCAGGAGGAAAAAAACCCTCAAATTTATGTCAAAAACAGAATGTGAATGAGAGGAAAGATCACACACACACACCCTTTAAAAGGTAAACATAAAAGAAAAATCAGGCCACATTTATCTCTGTTAGTAAAAAAGCCTTAGCCAAATGTGTTGTCAATTCTTACTCAGACAGAAAAAAAGAGAAACGCTTACTACAGAATAGCAGTGCAAACAAACTTCCAGCGATGATGAAAACAGTCTATGTGTGTGCTCAAATTCAGCAGCCAATGACCCCATGTTGAGCACGTGAAAGGTGGCTACCGAGACTGCAGAAATAAATGTTTAATTTTATTTCCTTTTCATTCATCTACATTTAAATGTAAATAGCCACAGGTAGCTAGTGGCTACTGTACTGGACAGCTCAGCTACAGACACCCAGACCGAACAGCTGGCAATGTCTTTCATTTCCTACAATAAAATTGCCATCGTAATCAACCAATAATATCTTAAATTGTCACCAACATTAGTGCCTCCAGACAGGCCCCAGCTGCCCCAAAGTCAGCAAGCTTAAAACACAATGGAAAAAGACTAAAGACAGCAATTCAATGTTATCATTTCTTGGGACTCTGCTCTGTCTGCCTAGTTTACAGTCCTGTTATACTATGGCTTCACGTATCTGGACATCTGTGCTTGTAGACAGAATACACATTTGCAAAACCAGAATGCCACAGTCTCTCCCCGGTCTGGGAAACACGAAAATGTGAACTTGGGGCAAGTTACATAACCTCGCTAAACTTCAGTTTCCTCAAGGCTGAAGAGCAGATAATAATAGTGCTGGTCTCCCATGAGGATTAAATTCAGAGAGTACGGCAGGTAAAGGGCCTGACAGTCCCTGGCCAAGAGTAAGCACTTGGCAAGTGGCCGCTATAGTTATTATTTTGTTAATAACAATAGCAAAATCTGTAGTAAAATAAGAATGGAGCTACTACAATGAACGTTTACGGTGGGCCAAGTTTTCCTCCACCCAATCCCTCTGAAGCTGTTTCTCAGGCTCTAAGAAAGTGACTTCTAATAAAATCCATCGGGGGCCCTGACGTCTCCTCACTCAGAGGTCTCCGTCCACCTCCAGAGAAGTCATCACCTAGATGGCTACCATGAGTCACGAGCATCGTTCAGCCAATGTTTATTGTGCCCCTACTCTCTGGCAAGCACATACCAGGCTATGGATGAAAACAGTCCCCAGAGGGCAAGGTCTCCAGACTCTATACCATCCGCAAAGCTTGGGCCCCACTGAGACACCTTGGAGAGAGGTAACAATTTCACCCCGGGGTTCCTCACAGGCTGGGAGGCTCACTTCATGTTTCCTGGATCAGCCAGGCCCAGATTCAGCTGCTGGCCCACAGAGAGGGGTCGAGGAATGAGGGCAATTGAGAGGAACCAGCCCATTTTCCCAGCAGGGACGATCAGGGGGGTTGTCTACGACAGGTTTTCACTGACAGGCCAAATCACTTTAACAGGAAAGCTGCTCTCCGAGCCTTCAAAAAGCCAAATCCGATCTTCCTCACAAAGCAAGTACAACCCCTTTCAACAGCTAACTGCCCAAGCCAGTGAAATGCAACGGGACTCTCCATCAAGTTCACGTCAACCAGACCTATGCGCTGGAAACTCCCCAGGAGCTTCTTGGCAGAAGTTTAGTGGAATTCTGTGGGGCTTGGGGGTTATTTTTATGTATGTAGAATGCACTCAGTCGATCTTCTCCCACAACCAAGTGTACATTCCCCTATGGAATTCCCTTTTCTGAAGATTTCTAAAAAACAAAATATTCATCTGATCGTCTGCAGTGATTTAAGTGTAAACCCACATACGGGCAGAGTCGGGGGTTTCTCGCAGCTCCTCCGCCTATGAAAACACGTTCCAGAATGTCTCCGTTGGTCCTGATTTCTGGCCCCAGAAGAATACTAGTCAAACGATGCTCTTGACTTGGGGTTAGGAAAATAAGGTTGTAATATCTGGAATCTCATACTGGTACTCTTTGCTGGTGGGAATGTTAAGTGGTATAAGCACATGGGAAAAGGTCTGGCAGTTTCTTAGAAGGTTCTATGACCCAGCAATTCCTAGACATTTACACAGATGAAATGAGAACATACATCCTTAGGAAGACTTGTACGTGAACATTAACAGCAGCTTCATTCACAATACCCCCCAAAACTGGGAATAAGTCACGTGTCCATCAACAGAGGGCTATATAAACAAACTGTGGCGTAAGCATAACATGGACATAACTCAGCAATTAAAAAGACCAAAGGACTGAACATTCAGCGTGGGTGAATCTCAAAAACATGCTGAGTGAAAGAAGCTTCACACAATGCTGGAAGAATTCCATGTATATCAGGTTCAACAACAGGTTAAAGGAAACTAGAGTGAGACACAGTCAGAGCAGCGGCTGCCACTGATGGGGTGGGGGCGGGCACCGACTGGAAATGGAAATGAAGGAACTTTCTGGGGTGACGGTAATATTCTCTTTATTGATAGAGACTGGGGTTATACATGACATGTGTACGCATCTGTCAAAACATTATGCAAATGTTACTCTTAAGATGTGTGCGCTTTACTATGTGTCTATAAAACTTACCTTAAGGAAATCATGAACATCAATTAAACTCTAACAAATAAAATGGGTGCTGAAATGTTTAGAAGTGACCTGTCTCAATGTCTGCAATTTATTTTAAAATGAATAAAACAGTAAGTGGGACCAACAATGAATAGAGGGATGAATCAATGGGGAGATATGTAATTAAACCAACGTAGTAAAATTACAGGCTCTTGGTGTGGGTATTTGGATGGTCACAGCTTTTGCAACTTTTCTACATATTCTAAAATGAGATGGACAGGGCAAAGAGTCTCGGTGCCCCTTCTTTAGCCCACCACATTAGAAATTTGTCGAGGCGCCATGCCCACCAAGCTGTGGCCTCATATCATTTCGGTTCTGCTGAAAAGTGAAGATTGCAAGAACACGAGTAGCTTTACAGGAACTCACATCACTCATGCCAAAGATTTTCTGCCTGTTTCCCTACAGACAAAGCAATTATTTGAATGTAAGCCAAAAATTCCTTTTCAACAGGGAGAAAAAGGACATACTCGCTTGTATCCCCAATTTGTTGTCTTTCAATTCCTGCAGCAAATCCATTAGCTCACTGCACAACACTCCACTTCCACTTGCCCCATGTCCATGCAGCCAAAGACAAAGAAAGACCAACCCAATGACCTGTTTTACAAATGCAGCCAGAGGATGACTTCCCAGTTCTCAGGCCAGAAACCCCACTGAAGGCAAAAGAGGATGCAGAGCTCCTCTGAGGTTAAAGTGATTTCACTGAGGTTAGTGCACATACGCACCAAGAGCCCCAAACAGCTTGTTGCTTAATCCCTCTGTGGGGTTTGGTGACATCTGGGGTCACTTGAATTTAGTAGGGAATTCAGCTGTTGAGAGGTACAAATTAGGAATCCCGGTGGCTAGGGGCACGAGGGGTGCACAGCAAGCCCTACCCACAGGCCCAGAGGTCGCTCACATTACACTGGCCTTCCTTCCTGGCAGAGCCTTGCTTATCCTGAGATGACACACAATGGCAGGGGCTGGAAGACGCCTAGTCTGACTGCCAGCCCAGCATCTGAAAACAGCTGTACCAATTACAAGAAGAGACTGTTGCTGGAAACCAGGGCAACCACTCAAATATAGGGATCTGTGCCAGACTTTTTGAAAAAATACTTTTTGTTTGTTTGTGTATAAGCCCCATAACAAACTCACTGACACCCCCAGCGTCCCCGGGAACTACCCACAACCACAGGAGGCAGCTCGGCGCATGCAACAGGGAGGCAATAGGGAGCGCGCCTGGGTCCAGCACCTTGGCTTCCACGCTGCTCTCGCTGCCAAAAACAGTGACACTCTAGGTGAAGGGCAAGAGCCCCGGGCTCGGGAGGAGGGTTTGCACACCTGACTGCTGGGTTTCCTGAAATATAAGCCGCCACCGCCCCACCCTGACCCAGACCCACACTGCAGTCTCTCAAGCCTAGGTTAAGTAGGTTAGGACTAGGGAAGAAACCCCCTTACAAAGGGGGAATGCCCGTTTTCAGCGCCGGGGACTCCCCGCGCCCAGAGTCTCTGAGCCTCCAGTGGCTGCAGCGCTTCCTCTGAACATGCCGCGCGTCTGCTCCCACTCATCCATCATTCCTGCCCAGAGAGCAAAGCTACCTCCTAGGGCGCACGCATTAAGGGCAGCCAGAGCCGCCTCCACCCCACCCTCGTGCCCTCCTGGACTCTGTCGCCAGCTCCCGCCTCATATTTACAGAGGACCCCCTACAGCAGTGTCCTAGACCCACCTGTAGCCTGGAAGCTTCCCCTCCGCTTCCTTCTTAGGCGCCACCCCAGCCCCCACCCCGAGCCGGCAAAGCCCTGGGACCCCCAGCAGACTGCTCTGGGGTGCCTCTCCCCAGAGCGCGCCAGGGATGATTTTTTTTCTCGAAAAAGTTGGCCCAAGACTGCTGTGTCCCATGGATCGGGCCCGACCCCATCAACACCGGGTCAGAGGTGCAAGGAAAGAGGTTTAGAGGAGGGGCTCTCCAGAAGCCCGGGAGCCTGGGAAACACTCTCCAGCTCCCGCAACCTGCAGGGAGGCGCCACGCAGGGTTCCTCCTGTCCACAGGAGTCCTGATCCAAAGGGCCAAACGGAGGGGCCACGTACACCCCAAGTCCTGCCGCGCGCCTACCTACCGTTCCGGACTAGCTCAGGAGAAGGTGTGGGTGCCGGCTCCCTGAGACAGTGTGTTCCGTCCCGGGAGGAAAGTTTGTGCCATGCAAAGGAGGCGGCGCGGAGAAGGCGTGGGCACCAGTTGGGGCGGGCTATGGAGGGTGGCGACGGCGCGGCGTTCTCGTGTGTCCGTTCCTCCCGCGATCCGTGAGTCCGTCGGAGCCCTCCGCAGCCGCGCTCCCGCTCGCTGCGCGCTGCGCCTTGCGCCCGGCGCGCTCCAGCTCTAGTTCCGACTGGCTCCCGGTGCCTCCTCCGCCGCCGCCGCCGCCGCCGCGCGTCCGCCGGCTACACTTCCTCTTCCTCTGAACTCATGTACAAAATATGCTGCGCTGCATCTTTGGGGGAAGCCGTGCGGCCCCTAACAGCCGCTGCGGGGGCAGCGGCCCGCCCCGCGCCCTCTGCACGCTCTGTGCCGCGCCTCTGCCTCCACTCGGTGGACAATTCGCGTGCGGCACACGCTACCCACCCATCAACCCTTCGGTGCCCTCGGCTCAGAGGTCCCAAGCTCATGTACCCACCTCTCTACTTCTAACCAAGGCTGTGTGTGTGTGTGTGTGTGTGTGTGTGTGTGTGTGTGTGTGTTGAGAGCGCACGTGGGGTACTGGGATCCCTCAAATTTTGAGCTGGGATTCTGGAGGGTGACTGCTACCAAGGTACTATGGCCAGAAGGTGGGAGAGGCATTAACTGAGGATCATTCCTCCTCCCCATTCCTCAGGTGAGCCCATCCCTGCCGGCCCCGGTGCTGCCTAACTTATTCCTTGGGAGTTAGTGCTTAGGGAGAGGGATAATTGCCACTGTTTATTTGCCACACCCGATGCCACCAATTTAGGGTGTCTAGAAGGTTTGAGAAAATCTGGGGAACCATCCTGCCCTGCACTTCTAAGCTGCCCAAGAAGAAAATGATATAAATAAAGTGCCAGGCCAGGGCTACTTTAGTAAAGTGAAGATGTGGGGCAGTGAGTGCATTATAAAATTTCTTTCTTCTTGGAACTATTTAAACAAAGCAAAGTTACAGTGTGGGGGTTAGGAGCTGGGACGCTACTGTCAGACATGCAGGGTTGGCCTCCTGGCCTCCCTACTTACTCCCTGTGTGACTTGGGTAAGAGACTTAACTTCTCTGGGCTTGTTTCCTCATTTCTCAAATACCACTTCCTCCTGGATTTTGTATGTAAAGTGTTTAGGAAGCATTCTATAACTTTGCTATTAACGTTGTTGTTATTATTATAAGGGGACTGGAACAGACAGCAGACATAATCTAATTAAGTGCTTTTTCTGCCCATAGAGAGGGCCTTAGGCATGGGAGTCCACAGTCTAGTCCACAGAGGGCTAGATTCAGCCCCAAAGGTGTTATAAGGAGGTCCTTCTGGTACTAATAGCACCTCCCCTGGAGGTAAGGAAGGACTATTTGCATTTCAGAAATTCTTCTTGTTACCATTGCTTCTCAGAGGTTTTCTTCCATGTGTTTCTTTTTCCACACTTCCCAGTTCTCTTTCCTTCCCCCTCCCAGAATCTGGGTTTTTGTTCTTGCTTTTTGCCCCTTACCCTTCCTACCCCGCCACCTGCTGGCAGCAGTCACCACCACCCACCAGCACTCTCCGGATCTCTGCCCTCCCTTGGCCTGCCACCTAGGAGAAAATAAGACCAGGTGACAGCCCAAGTCCAGGTTCAAATAGCAGTGTGTGGGGACGTGTGTCCGGTGGCACTATCAGGGGTTTGGAACGCCCACCTTTGAGGCCAGAGGGAGGAATCTTTAATCTTCCTGAAGCCTCCAGTGTTGCAAGGCAGGCCCGTCAGAAATCTTTCTGATCTTTGCATGGCATCTGCATTGAAGAAAGAAAATAACATTTATAGGTGTTAACCAGTTTAAAAAAAAAAAAACAAACAAACCACGAAGCAGTTTTCAAAAGATAAGCAGAAAAAAAAAAGGAAAGGCGGCCTAAATTGGTTGTGGTGGGGCAAGAGGTTGATTTTTCCTTGGAACAAACCATTTCAACACTGTAAAATTTTGCACAGAATTTTTTTTAAATGCCAGGTCCTTGGGATTAATAAATTATTCTGATTGTTTCCACTTTCCTCCACTCAACATTTTTCTGAGTACTAATGGTCTGTAAATGTCATAAATGCCTTTTCCCCCTGCTTGGGTCTGCATTTTTTAGGGCTTTCTAGAACGCTCAACCTTTCCCCCTGGGAATTCTGACACTTCCTACCTGGTACACAGTAGGTGTTCAATAAACATTTATGGAATGAATGGATGAGTTGTTAGCATCTAGGTCTTTTAAGGCTCTGTGTGACCTACACTGAACACTTATCTGGAGTATTGTAGTATTCTGAGTCTCTTTCACTTCGTTGCATATCCAGTGAGGAGCCAGCATTGGGTTCATTTGTGTTAAGCATTGGCCAACCTTGATTTTCCACTTGGCTGTCATGGACTGGCCAGTCAGGGGATTGACCCTGGGCAGCTGGGCCTCACCTCTGACTGACCTCCCCTACCCAGCGTCAACCCCAAAGATGCTAGAACTGTATCCTGGTGGGTTACCTTGGCAACCTCACAATGTCATCTGTTAGAATGTCCTAGGGCGGCAGCTTTTAATTCTATCACAGCGGTCTCATCGGGGGTCATGTAATAGTGCTGTTTTTCCTCTGCTCACACTTCCTCCCGCTATGATTTAACACTAAGTACTTGGAGAGGGAGCCGAACACGGGGAAAACCAAGTTATTATAGCACGACAGGTCACAGATGGCCCCAGAACCAGGATCCCCAGTATTCCCGGTCAATAAAACACAGACCCCAAGTTAATGGGGAAACTGGTTCTCCTCACACACCCCGTGGAATGGAGAGGAGTTAAGCCAGCCTGGGTAACAGTAAGCAGCAGCCGTGGCCAGACTGTACAATTTGTGTAAAAGCTCTGTTAAAGGGGTCCCCCACTGGAATAGTTCTCTCTCTTGGCCTCAGCAGCATCACCCACTCTGGAGATGATTACGGCCATGGCCACCAGCCTCCGGAACACTTTTGCTGCATCCTAGCTGCACAGAGGCTTGGATGGAAGGAGAGTCCCAGGTAACCTATGCTGCCCACCTCTTCCAACCTCCAGCCCCCATCCTGCAATTTTACCACACCCTGGAGCCCTCCCCTCCATTTTAGCTTAAAATAAATCAGTCTCCTTGTTATTCTATAGACAGTTTTTGTAGAAAACAGGCCCATCAGAAGCTTCGGACCCTGAAGAACGATTGTCCTAACTGTTTATGAACGGGACCACAAAACCCAGGTCTCAGACAGGGCAGTGGAGCAGCAACATTTCAGGGCTGACAGGAGAGATAAGGAAACTCAGATATGCCCCAGAGGTACAAGAATGATTCGTTTTTATCTTCACGGTTAATATTTTAAGTGGGTTTCCAGCGACAATGAGATCACAGTTTGGCCAGCTGCTCCATACTAAATGGGTTGCAGGAAGCTGGCCCCTCGTAGGGTAACATTCATTCTCGTAAGGAGACGGGGTGGCCAAGGCCAGAGCTCTGTGCCCCAGAGCCAGTGGTTGGGGAGGAGCCCCTCCCCTGTGTTTGCTGTGACAGGCACGGCCCTCCCTGAGGCACCCCTGGAAAGACCATGGTCACAGAGGAGCAGGGCACACTTGTGCTGGTGTCCCCACATGCCCTGTACCACCCCCCCCCCCCGCCGCTGCAGTGTGGGAGTGTGAATTGGGGTGGGAGCAGGCAGTTGTTAGGGTACTTTATATGCATGTATTCGTTGACTGGCTAAGGCCAGGGGCTTTTGTCCAAAGTGTAGCCAAACTAATACTCTGCGAATGCCACCCGCAGACATCACCAATTTGAGGAAATGTTGGGTGGCTGCCCAATGTTCCATTCATCCATTGCCAAAAACAAACAAAATTATTGTTATTTTGCTCCTGAACCTGCTCCTCATTTTTTCCTCTGAATTCCCAGTCTGTCAAAAGGGCAGTCCAGGGGAGTGGGGCCCTCCTGTGGCTGAGAGAGAATTTGCTCTCTGAAGCAGAGAGCCACGGGAGACGGAACTTTCGGGAACACGGTGTGAAGCACTGCTCCCGGCAGCCTTGTTTCCCTCACGCAGCCCCAGGGACCCTCTGGCTTTACCAGAAGCCATCCACATCCACCCCTTTCACTGGTTATTCCACTCATGGGACCTATCTAGTTACTTGCATTTGCCAGCAGACTTTATTACCAAAGATACGAAGTGTATGTGCATGAACATGTAGGAGCCCTATAGACTGAAGTATTTCACAGACGTCAAAAAAGAAAATTACACAGATAAATCATTAAATAAGTGGTGGGCTAATATTTTGATGTATGAATTGATATGGTTTTCCTTCCACCTCTGCTATTTCCAGTCCCCCACTGTATGTCTTGTCACACCGCACCAACCTTCTTCCCAGCAATTTAGATAGCCAGAGAAGACATCGTTTGCCATGTGGGAGTGTCCTCATGGTAATACCAGGGACAGAAGTCAAATTCTTGGCTTTTGGATTTTCAAAAGTCAAGGTCCAAATGTAAAATAAAAAAGGAAAGGAAAAATTCGGAATCAGTAGAACCATTGTTCCCTATCATATCGTCTTTCCTTCCCCTACCCACCCACTGTCCCCCCCACACACACACCTTCTAAAAATAGATCAAAGCTGCGGGACTGCAGCAAGGGGAGCTGGGAGGAACAGAGGGGCTATGTCAGTAGGGAGCAATTGATCAGAGGAATTGATCACAGGACTGATCAGAGTCAGAACTGAGACACCCACCTCTCTCCACTCAAGGGAGAACCATCCATCCATGTCACTTGGGAACCCTGTGGACAATGGAACAGCGACTGTTGGAACTTGCCCAGGAGGAGCACTGTAAGTCTTCAGTAGAGGACATGAAAATGGTGTTTGTCCTTCCCACTGACATTGGGCAGTGAACTCCCCTCAACAGCAGCCAAAGCACAACCTGTGGACCATTCAGTAAAACTAACTCCTGTTCCTGGAGTTTAGCCCTCATTTAATAGTTAAGGGTGCTGGTAAACCCTTGAGATGGAGAGTAGGGCCCTGGTACCCTGAGGGACAGTGAAAAGATCCAAGAGTAGGAAAGATGTTTCCAACTATTTTGCATCAGGCCTGTGCTTAGAGGGCCCTCAATGGACCAGCTCATGATTTCCCTTACAAGGCAGGGCTGCAGTGATCATTAGCACTATTCCTTCAAGAGTTCTGATCTTCTCCATATGGTCTGAGGGTAGCATTGTTCTCCTTGGCTCCTTGTGGTTCGAAGAGGCTATAA